GTTTACTTAGTAAAATCTTGAGATATTGTCACGGGAAAGTTTTTTCTTCTTGTTCCTAATTTGGTTAAGTGATCTACAGGAAGAGTTGGTCTTTTTTTTCCTTTTCTCGCTTATATAGATATTAGTTGTTTCTATATATTTTTATTAATTATTTTAATTTATTATAATAAAATAATATTATAATATCTATTGAAAGGCTCGATGGGCTGATGCAGCTGGACCTCAAGAAATTGTGGATAGATTTTAAACAAAAGTTCTTTCAAAACTTGTTTAAAATTATCAAAAGAGATGTTCGAAGATATTATGCTAGTAACATCTAAATATTAAAAATTATAAAGAAGCACCACCATCACCAATAGAAAAATATTTGGCACAGCAGAATCTGAAAAAAGAATGTAGAAAAAATAGAAAACAACAAAGAATGACAGCAGTAAGAATTTTTTGTTTTTATTGTATTAATGTACTAACTATATTACTATCAGTAAAATTTTAAATATATTTTTAGAAAATCAATCAGAGGAAAAAGAGGTTCACCCACCTCCACCAAAGTAAAAGTGAACAACTAAAAAACCTCCTCCTACATGATATTTCAGAACATCAAGCTCTGAATGACTTAAAAAAAATTGTGGCCATAGGTGGGTACTATAGTGATTAGATATCAGAAACAGATAATAAACTTGCTAATATTGAATAAAGAAAAAGGATTTAATATGCTCTTGATGACAACTGCAATAATCATGTGGTGAAGATCATAAAAAAAGGATAGTGGTCAAAAAAAGTAATTATTACAATAGATAATTTATATCTATATCGATACTAGTACTAATATGTGTCATGATAGTGGTCAAACCCCTGTATACTCGTTCGGGGAATGTTTAGTTGTTAAGATTTGGATTTCGATCGTAACATTATGTGAGCACGTGGTGCCCGTGATGATCAGGGTAATAGACACTAATCGGATAGACCAATGACTTTATGCATGGATAGTTTATTTGTAATATGTATGTCATAGAGGTAGTCTATTGTTATTTGTGCGCAATCTTGTATTAAATATGTAGTCATCGATGTATATGGTTTGATAAAACCAATTCGTAGTCAGAGAATTGATATAAATAGAATAAAGAATTCGTAAGCGAATTCAGTTCTCTCTTTCCCAATAATAAGAAATCACTTAGTTAAATAAAATACAAACCTGTGGTTCCTCAAGTTGTCGTGTATGTGTGTTTCATAAAGTTGAGATATTGCTCCGGAATCGAAGGAGGTGTCGCCAAGCCTTGTGAGTTTGCTGGTGAACCCAAAGTGCCCCAATCTGAGCTAAACTAGCACTAGGAGACTGTCTAGTGCGTACCCACTTGACATTAAGTCCCACCCATCCTTTAACTACCTAGCTACTCTCCCTCTACACACACATTAGCTACCTGCTACTCTCAAAGGCCTCATCTCTACACAACTACTTGAATCATTTCAGATGCTAAACCTATGATACAATGAGGCAGCTAACATCATAATACAGACACTACTTCTTGTATCTGCAGAAATCTACAACAAATCTGAAAACAATACTGAGACAAATTTACAAAATGGAAGAAACAAAACAACATACTATCTCTAAATAGGGCTACACCAACCAGTTTACAAGTTCACAACCATACTAAGCAACACTGAAGAAGGCTCAGCTACAACTATCCTTGCAGTATAGCTGACTAACTACATGAAAACAATGGTACATGCTCTATGAAAGGACTAGCCCAGCTAAAATTTGACTAGTGGTCCATAGTGTGGATTCAATTTAGTATATATACAAACCAAATATTAACTATTAAAATCTAGGTAAGTCTTAACCACTCTAGTAGGTTTAGATCACAAATAACCAATTTAGCTATAGCTGAGTTTTTTAGTCTAAGCTCTCATTCTTGCATATAGTTTATATAACCTTTGTTTTTATACAAATTAAGTTGTTTCTATGTATAAACTACTCAATAAAGAAATGAGCAAGGCCTCATCTTAATACCAAAAAAAAAAATAATAATAATAATTTTGTTTATAATATAGAGTGTAGTGATTTAGTGAAGTGATAAAGTTGTCATATCTCCAAGCTAGCTTAACTATATCAAAAAATTTTTTTTGATAATATATATTGATTATAATTTTCTAAATTATAATCATTATGCATTATCTCTACTGGATATAAACATTAGTAATATATAACAATATATAGCAAAATTTTATTAAATTTTATCAAAATTTAATATGAATTTTCTTAATAACTAATAATTAAAATTAGTTAAAATTTTTACTATATAGTATCAATATACATCTATATTAAACAAAAAGTTTAGCTAATTATAATCACTAGTTCACAAGAAATCACTTGTATACAATAGTTAATTTTTTTAAAAAAATTAACTATTGTATACAAGTAATTTCTTGTAAACTAGTTATTAAAATTAGCTAAAATTTTTATATAATATAGATGCATATTATTACTATCTACAGTAAAAATTTTAACTGATTTCAATTTTTAGTTATTGAGAAAATGCATATCAAAGTTTAATAGAATTTAACAAAATTTTATAATAATTGATAAAAATATATATCATTATATAACTATAATTGATATATAGTATTAAGGATATATATTAATATATAGCTAATAATTAACATATATTTTGAAAAAAAATTGATTACAAATGATCCTAGTGCTTGTAATCAATACAAATTTTCAAAAAAAATTTTCTAATATATAGTATCAAGTTCAAATCCCACTAACAATATTTTGGACAAAAATACTTGTATTATAATAACAGATCTCTCAAATTAGGTTAGGTCTATAATCTGTTACTAGGGTCATACCAATGCTTTTGGGTACTAAAAACCTCTGAAATTATTCATGATATTTTATAAAGAAATGCAAACTAGTATTGATAGTACAAACTCAAGATAAGTATTTTAAAAAACAAAAAATATTAAAGATATCTACTGTATTTTCACATAATAACGCTCACCTGCACATTATTTTGAGTATATGCACGTTATTTCAAGTACGCGCATGAGCATTATTTTGAAACAATTAAAAAATTTTATATAATTCTTGTATAAAAATAAACAACTAGATTT